ATATTATTATATTATCTATATATAAAACTTTATATTCAATTAATAAGTTAATGATGAATTAATAAAATTTTGAAATAACATATTAACTGTGTTTACAAAATTTGATTTGAGTGAATAAATATTGAAGAAAAATAAAAATATTAAATAAATTTAAAAATTATTATGTTAATTTGATAAATTAAATTTTTAATTCTGTTAAAATTCAGATTTACATTTATAAAAACTTAAATCGTTGAAAATTTTATATGACTTTCTTTCCTGATAATAATGATTTATATTTAATTTACATACAATAATACTTTCAAGGAGAAAAAATCTTTACCTTCAAAATAATGCTTTTAATGCCAAATGATCTACCAGATTATTAGTTATTTTAAGACTAATTTTAATAATTAAATAAGCAGAAATTTGACAAGATATGGCTGTCTAACTGCTTACCTCTGTTCATTTTAGTGTTTGTTTAATTAATAAAGTTATCCTTAAAATAGCCTACTAATATGATAGATTATTTAGTTTTAATTAAAAATTGGATACGTGGATATTTATATATATATATATAAAATGCTTTTAATGTAAGGTTTTTATTTTTTGTCCTTGATTTTTTTTTTTTTGTATAAGATTTCATCATTCTGAAGATGAGGAACTTTGCTTTTGATTGTATTACATAAATTAAGATATAAGACTCTTGGAAAAAAGTTATTTTGATTATCTAGTATTATAAATAACTTTTTAAAATTATTAAATATTGAAACTTCAGCAATAATCATTGATAGCAGCGATACTATTAGAATAAAAGGAACAATATTGTACACAGAAAAATTGATTTTATGCTTCAACATAACTATATTAAAATTTTTTATCTGGTAAATTTACAGTTTGAATTTATTATAGTCAATGTACATAATTATATTTGAATGATTATATACTGTACTTAAACAGTAATAATAAAATTAATAACCTTTAAATTTAATTTTAGAGACTGGAGTTGAACTGAAAGAAGAAACCTTAATTGCAAAACCTCTTAAATTTGATTGCAAAGAAAATTGTAAACCAGTAAGTAATTTATTTACATTTACAAAATACGTTATTAAAACCCTTGAGTAATAAGTTTTTTTTATATTATTATAACCATAAAGAATACATGTAATTATTAATGTTAAATTAAAGTTATTAATTTTCAAGTTAGATATTATGTACTTTTTGTGATTTAATAGTTTGACTCAAAAATCTGTAATATGTAACTTTAAATTAAAACATTTATTTATACAGTCGACCCCCCTATAACACTGTTGATTATTCCGTATTTTATGAATTCCATGTTGTACGAGTCACTTAGATTTTACAAATACGTCAGCTGTTCACAGCCTGGCACATGTATTTGTAAAATCTAAGTTACTCAAAATCTAAGTGACATTAAAATGGGTTTTATGTCGTTACAAGTAGGTTTTTTAACTTTATCTAGTATAGTAAAATTGTGGGACCAATAAAAAATTATATTATATTATACATTATATTAGTGTTGTCATTACATCTGATAACGTTATAATTGGGTTAAACTGTATATTGTTTGTGCAAAATAAAAAATAATTGTGGACGATACAATAGCCACGATTATTTTTTTCAAGAACGGGAAATTTTCGTTACGCATCACCAAAAATTCAACCCGGACCGATATGCAATGGAGAGAAATTTCGAAATTGGATAGGTTAATTTCATTGAAAATGCATTGTGGATGACCTCATGGTCATGGCTGGCTAAGTTTGAATGATTGCACCCAAAAGCAACGATATCAAAGAAGATTGGATAATAAGAACAAGACCAGCCTTGAGTGTCAAAATGATTCTGCTTAGTAGTGAGTCTCCGAGACATAGTCTTGTCCCAAATACAGTTTTGCCGTTTTATTTGTTTTTGGATTTATATTCTTCCCACAGAATGAAGTACTTAACATCTTTGACTTTTTTTGTGAGCTATTTGTAAATGACATAATGCAAGATAACAGGTGGACAAATAGGGTGACATATTATCATAATACATAAAATTTCTGCACTTAAGAAGTAAAAAAGTATTTAAACACACAGTCATCTTGACTTTGATCTGAAAAACAAAAAAAAAATATATGCCTCTTTTGTCCTGAAAGTGCTTTATAACTTTTAAATTCCAAGTATGTTTTGTTTTTAGAATAAAATTGAAAATGAAAGCTAATAAATTCAAAAACTTTATTGCATTCAGTTTTTATCATCTTTTTATGTTAAATTACACTGTTTCTGACTAATCATCTAATGTTGTAGAATGGAAAAATTTTACATTTTTTCTTTTGTATTGTTTTTATCCAAATATGAAATATACTAATCTTGAAAATATTTGCAAACAAAATTTTTATATTTTAATACAACAGTGTGTGTCTGTAAGTATGCATGTATATCAATCTAAATTTATCAATGTGCATGACAATCATGTGCAACATGATTTACATTTAACTATAATTTAAAGCTGTGAAATACTTAAAACAAAATAAGATAATATTTTTATTTTAAAATTTTTTATTAAAATTAAATTTAATTTAATATCTAAGATTATCAAGGAGCAGGAAATCATGCATTATTACTATGCCTATTAAATATTCTATATAATATAATATTACTTAATATTTACATAATATTTATTCTAAACAAATTATTTCTTTCAGTTATCTAATCTAGTCACAGATTTCAAATCCAAGTTAGAAGCAAAAAAACTCTCAACATTAGAATCTGCTTCAACTTTTGTTACACTGTTAGAAAAATTTCATTTGGCAACAAAAAATGAATTATTAGAAATACTGAAAAACAGAAAAAACAACAATATCATGTAAGCTGTAAATTTTAAATTATTAATAATTATTTTAATCAATTTAAATTTTTGTTGAGAAATAAAACTTGAATAAATTTTCAAAAACTTTTAATATCTAGCAATATACTGTATTTATTTAACAAATGCTTTTGTCTGTTTTGAATTTAATTTTTTTTTTCCTGGACATTTATTCAACAACAGATCCAGTATAAAATTAATTGAAATAAAAATGATGATACATTAATATTTTTTGCATCATTATAAATTCTTAAATATTTCTATAAATATTTCTATTCCAGTATATCTTTTGTAAAGCAGATAATGCTGTTTGTATAGCATTGATCATTTTTGCTTTATTTGCTAAACTTAAAATTACTGCATCAAATGATTACAGAAATGTTTTATTTCATTCAAATCCATGAACAATATAATTATTGATTGATTAAATATTACAATTTATAAATTTATATGTGTATATTTATACAGTGTCAAAAAATATGAGTAGCATATTTCTGTATTTTTATTTTATATTATAAAATGAAAAATTATGTATTTTCAATATATTGAATTCCCATTGTTATAAATGAATTTGTTTTTCATTTCCTAACTTTAACAAAATATTATAAATATAATTATCAGACATAACAANAAAGTGATTCTGCTTAGTAGTGAGTCTCCGAGACATAGTCTTGTCCCAAATACAGTTTTGCCGTTTTATTTGTTTTTGGATTTATATTCTTCCCACAGAATGAAGTACTTAACATCTTTGACTTTTTTTGTGAGCTATTTGTAAATGACATAATGCAAGATAACAGGTGGACAAATAGGGTGACATATTATCATAATACATAAAATTTCTGCACTTAAGAAGTAAAAAAGTATTTAAACACACAGTCATCTTGACTTTGATCTGAAAAACAAAAAAAAAATATATGCCTCTTTTGTCCTGAAAGTGCTTTATAACTTTTAAATTCCAAGTATGTTTTGTTTTTAGAATAAAATTGAAAATGAAAGCTAATAAATTCAAAAACTTTATTGCATTCAGTTTTTATCATCTTTTTATGTTAAATTACACTGTTTCTGACTAATCATCTAATGTTGTAGAATGGAAAAATTTTACATTTTTTCTTTTGTATTGTTTTTATCCAAATATGAAATATACTAATCTTGAAAATATTTGCAAACAAAATTTTTATATTTTAATACAACAGTGTGTGTCTGTAAGTATGCATGTATATCAATCTAAATTTATCAATGTGCATGACAATCATGTGCAACATGATTTACATTTAACTATAATTTAAAGCTGTGAAATACTTAAAACAAAATAAGATAATATTTTTATTTTAAAATTTTTTATTAAAATTAAATTTAATTTAATATCTAAGATTATCAAGGAGCAGGAAATCATGCATTATTACTATGCCTATTAAATATTCTATATAATATAATATTACTTAATATTTACATAATATTTATTCTAAACAAATTATTTCTTTCAGTTATCTAATCTAGTCACAGATTTCAAATCCAAGTTAGAAGCAAAAAAACTCTCAACATTAGAATCTGCTTCAACTTTTGTTACACTGTTAGAAAAATTTCATTTGGCAACAAAAAATGAATTATTAGAAATACTGAAAAACAGAAAAAACAACAATATCATGTAAGCTGTAAATTTTAAATTATTAATAATTATTTTAATCAATTTAAATTTTTGTTGAGAAATAAAACTTGAATAAATTTTCAAAAACTTTTAATATCTAGCAATATACTGTATTTATTTAACAAATGCTTTTGTCTGTTTTGAATTTAATTTTTTTTTTCCTGGACATTTATTCAACAACAGATCCAGTATAAAATTAATTGAAATAAAAATGATGATACATTAATATTTTTTGCATCATTATAAATTCTTAAATATTTCTATAAATATTTCTATTCCAGTATATCTTTTGTAAAGCAGATAATGCTGTTTGTATAGCATTGATCATTTTTGCTTTATTTGCTAAACTTAAAATTACTGCATCAAATGATTACAGAAATGTTTTATTTCATTCAAATCCATGAACAATATAATTATTGATTGATTAAATATTACAATTTATAAATTTATATGTGTATATTTATACAGTGTCAAAAAATATGAGTAGCATATTTCTGTATTTTTATTTTATATTATAAAATGAAAAATTATGTATTTTCAATATATTGAATTCCCATTGTTATAAATGAATTTGTTTTTCATTTCCTAACTTTAACAAAATATTATAAATATAATTATCAGACATAACAAAAAAGAATAGTTTAAATGGCATTATTATGGGAAGGGGGAGGTAATTGTCTTTATATTTAAAATAAATTGTTGTGATGTATTTACCATAATTTATTATCTTTGATATGTTTATATATTTCTTCATATATATATGAATGCTGCTTTATCATACTTTTCTGTTTTGAGTTTTACTATATATGTTTTTATATCCATTCAAAAGATGAATTTTTATGATACACATAAATATATATATCAGCATACAAATTAAAATAAAATATGATGGTATAATGGTACCAGTTTTACCTGATGTCATCAAAATTTTTATTCCTGAAACAGATATAACTAAGATTACCATTCCTGTCTTTTTTCAATCTATAATTCTAGAGACTGAAAAAAAGACAGGAATGGTAATCTTAGTGATATCTGTTATTGCATTTATTATGTTACACATAAAAAATATACATAAATGGAATTTCAGGAATAAAAATTTTGATGACATCAGATAAAACTGGTATCATTATACCATCATATTTTATTTTAATTTGTTTTATTTATTTATTTTATTTATTTTTTTAATGTGAGTGTTATGTTCTCTTCCTTTGGTAATCCATATTTCACATTTGGATCTTGTTTGATCTTACATATATGCGACTCTTTTCTTTGTTTGCATGCTTATGTAAGCTGCTGATGATCTGCACTGATGTCTGTGTGAGAATGAAAACGTTTCTTCTAATAAAATATTTGGCTTTTTGGATTAAATAATTTTAGTGTATATTGTATAAAAGCTTTGATTTTTTTAATGTTTTTTTCTGAATAAATGCAAGAGCACTTGAAAGTATTCAATAAAAATAAATATTTCTTCCTTAAAACAATAAGTGTGTGGAAAAGGACAGCAGAAGACGTCTATGTATTGTCTAGTTTGCTAAATTTATTTAAATTTTAAAAATGTAATTGTCCTGGCAATTTTTTATCAAACATTCTATTTGATTGTTTTTTTAAATAAATACAGTATATAATTTTTAACATTTAAATTTCAAATATTTTTGTACCATTTTGTACCTACATTATTTAGCCTTAATAGCATTATATTATTATATTATATTTAAAATATTAGCTGGGGCAGGATCTTGAACCCATTTTCCCAGCTATAACATCCAGACTTCTTGGAAAATCCATCACACAATTTGCTAGAGCCACACTTGCTATATTTGGTCTAGTTGCACCTTCAATCATGAATCTATGCTAATTTAAATTGATATAATATGCTGAATAAATACCAATAATAATAGCAATAATTTATTTGTTTACAGACCTCAAATTCTAGATTTAATTTCTGCAACTCAAACAGATGCTGCTTTTGAAGCAGCTCTTGAATTTCTGGATTTTTCAGGAAAAAATACAGATTTACCAGAAAGATTTCTTTTGGGTCTCTCTGTGACTTCTCATCCAACTTCTAAGATGATAACCGAACTTTTGGTATGTTTCTATTATCTATTTTATACATATTGAAACTAAATTATATTTAAAAATTATATTCATGCATGTATTTCTTCTACTTAGAATTATCAGTTGATTTTTTTTTAAATTTTGAGAAATTTTGGATAAGATATTATTCTATGTTTTGAAAACTTCAGGAGAATTTTGATAAGTATATGCCATTCTCTGTTAGGTGATAAATTACAATCTTTCCAACAAAAAGAAATAAGTTTCTTTAAATACACTAATACAAAATTAGATACTATAACAAATTTTTATATGAATTATAAATAAATGTTCTAAAACTATAATTTTTCTGTATATTTTGATAATCCAATGATTTAAAAGAAATTATAAAACTTTTAACATTCTTACATTTTAACAAAATAATTATATAAATTATATTAAACAACTGAGTAATATCAAATATGAGAGTGAACAAACTCTGTTTCGAGTTGGTTTGCTGAATTAAGCACAATTCAATATTGTTCTGATCTAAGGTTTGGTGAAAGCACACCTCCACACTCAAAATAATCAATATATACAGTTTATTTACAAAATATGTACAAAGTGTGTCTGAAAAGTTTGGTGAATGGTCTCATAAAATAAAGGAAACAAGAGATAGAAACAAAATACCTTTATTGGCATTCAAAGTAATCACCATTAGCAACAACACACATTTGACATCTGTTGTACAGCTGCTGGAAGCTGGAAGCTGTGAGCAAACGCTTCTTTCGGTATTGCATGAAGCACTGTTGTCACACGTTGTTGGATCTGCGCAATGTTGGAAAAGCATAGGTCTTTCAGGACTCCTTTGAGGCGGGGAAACAAGAAGAAATCTGTAGGTGCCAGATCTGGAGAATATGGAGAGTGTTGAAGAACTGTCACCTGGCATGTAGCAAGGAAGTGCCGTACGCAGCTCGCAGTGTGCAGACGGGCGTTGTCATGGAGCAGGGTCCACTGTCCACTCTGGTACAACTGTGGCCAAAGTCACTGGATGTGTTTCAGCAGCCATTTCAAAACTCCCTCGTAGAATTCTGCGTTGATGGTTGTATTGTCAGGTAAAAATTCATGATGGATTAAGTCCTTACTGTCGAAAAAGGCAATCAACATCGTCTTAATCCTGGATTTGGTGAGATGACATTTTTTGGGAGGGGGTACGACCATGAACACCATTCCATGGACAGTAGCTTGGTCTCTGGATTGTACTGGTAGCAACACGACTCATCTCCTGTAATGATTGTTTCCAAGAACTGCGGATTCCGGTCACATGCATCGATGAAATCTCCAGAGGTTTCCATCTGGTGTTGCTTTTCCTCATCTGACAGCAAGTGCGGTACAAACCGGGCACAAATCTTACGCTTTTGCAAATGTTCGTGAACAATGGTGCTAACACTGTCTTTGCTTACCTTCAAATATCAGAGCTGATGCTGTAGGCTTTTGTTTTTGAAATTTGATAGCAGGCAATAAATCCTTTTTTCACATAATTACAAAGAAGGAAGCTATAGCTGGGTAATATTTTTATTTTAAGTGTGTTTATTTTTTCAAAGTAGAATTTTGAATAGAGGAATAGTTGAATTAAACATCTTGGATTACATTTAACCAATTTGATTTTTAAGCTTATTATACAATCATCAGTTATATATTGCACCCTCAATGAAAGTGAAAAGTGAATTGCCTGAAAAAGTGGTAAAGATGAATGGTTTTATGTGACATGTAAAAAAGTTTAAAAATTATGAATATTACTTTTAACAGAAGCATACAGTAGTATGCATTGTTTTTATAGTGTTTGCATTGCAAACACTATAAAAAAAAAGAAAAAAAAACAGTAAAATCTTCTGACTTGAACAACAATTTTGATGTAATCTGAAAGAGGTACCAGGAGGATAGCTCAAAATGTAAAATAAAAAAAATTAAGCAAAAGTGAGAATTTGAGTAGAAGCAGTAGATTTTTATATTTATTTTATTATTCATTATTAGTTATATTTTATTACATATAATGAATATCTTGTTAAAAAATTATTGAATCTGAATACTATATAATTTCTTTATAATTTTATTCACAGTTTTAATTTTATTATTAATTAAAATATTTTATTTAATAGAATCTAGCAAATAAAAAAATTAGTAATGAAAAATTAAGAACAACATTGTTAATGACCTTGGGATCTGTCTTGAATTCTTTTTGTAAAATAAATGATTCCTACTTGGATTTACCAGTAAGTATTTTATTATCATTTTATATAACAAATAGCATTTATTTAATTTTGATTATTCATTAATAATTTTATTTTAATCATTGATTTTACTCTAATAATATGGATTTTTTATTACTGATTTATTTAAGGAAAAAAGATTGTGGAAATTAAAATATATGAATAGTATTAAATGTTTGAAAACACAAAGCATATATATACAAGTAACTGTTTTAATTGAAGTATAGGAAATAAATATGCAAACACTTTTGAATAATCTACCATGTTTGGGTTTAATAAAAAGAATAATTTCTTTAACTGATGTTGCTATGGAGATATATATAACATATGAAAAAACTTAATGCTATTCAACTGAACTGTTTGTTTTTTGTTATGCCTGAAGATAGCAAATTGGCTGAAAACATTTAAATTACAGGTAACCCCCGTATAACACGGCACTTCTATAGCACGGATTTGCTCTAACACGGTTTGAGAATTGGTACCATCCTCCATATAACACGGTACTTTTATAGCACGGATTCACTCTGACACGGTTCGAGAATTGGGTAAAACCCTCGTACAACAGGAAATGTAAAAAATTTTTACATACTTAACTAATAATAGTTCACGAAAATTATTATTTTCGTGAACTATTAGTACTTAAGTATGTAAATTTTCTCTTCTCGCCTTCTGTCGATACAGGTGGCCTTTCTCGAAACTTGTTTCAATGTTGCCAGATCGCGACGCTTCTGCTTCTGATGTTGCCGAATGTTTTTCCCTTATTCCATACTTGCTTTATTCTTCATAAGTGCTTAGCACCATATAAGGAAATTTATAAAGACCTTTTAACTAGAAGCAAGCAATCTAAAATTACATACATTTTGCAAAAGGTAAAGCATGGATCTGAAGATAATGCAGAAAAATGCTCAGAGGATAAGGATAACTTGCCAAAAAGAAAACGCTCTCGGTTAATTAATAGTGTTTTTAGTGATGACGAAGAAAACATTGTTTAATTTATATTAATATGTATCACTTAAAAAAATTTTAATGAAGATATTTATCTTAATTATGAAAATATACTAGCATGTTTTTTAATTTTTGGAACCTAACCCTCCTTTTCGTATTAGTTCTTTGTTTCGTATAACACGGATTCGCATAACACGGCAATTTTTTGGAACGTAACTACCGTGTTATACGGGGGTTACCTGTACTTAGTTTCTTCTTGTAGTTCAATTAAAACATAAAATGTAGAAAATATATACATTTTTTTACATTACTGAATTAATAAACTACAATATACAAACATTTGGAAAAAGTTTTCATGAGATGATGCTTAGTTTTCTTACAGTAGATCTACTTGAAATTATAATACATTATTTATTACAAATTATTGAGTAACAAATTCCATTTCTGAAATCGTTAATCTATTGAGGAATACAATTATTTTTGTAGAGACAGAAATCAATAGGGTTCAAACTAGAATTTAATTTTTATAAATAAAAAAATTTATATTGAAATATTACTTTAAAAATTATTGAAAATATAAAAAAGTCTACTATAAAATGTGATATAACATTATTACACTAATGTAGATTACCAGTATTATTTTTACTTCCTAGTTGAAAAGTCAGAAAAACTGATTCCAGCCCATGCACAATTTCTATTTAAATCTTATATTTCTTTCAATTATACATATGTAGAATTGATCACTTCACTATGTTCATCTATTACTGATTTTAGAATCTATTTGAGACATTAATTCATTCAAAAATTATAGTGCTAAATGCTTCAATAATTTAATTTGTATAACATTAAAAGATATTCTGTATATGCCAGTAACAAATATATATAATTTATGTAAATGTTTAAAAAACATAAACATTATCTAAAACATTGGAAATTAAAATTTTTTTTAACAGAGTTGTAAATGTATTTATTTTTTTTTTATAAATTACAGATTGTAAATGAAGTTGTTAATCATTATTCAAATAAATTAAACAAGTGTAAGAAAGTAAATTGTAAACTGATGTATCTTAGAGGATTGAAGAATGCTGCATTACCATCAACTGTTCCACTACTATTAGAATATGCTAAGAAGGGAAAACCATTTGCAGAAATTGCTCTATCAGCTATAAAGAAAATGGATCCAAAATATATCAATGAAATAGTAAATTCTTAATTAAGAAATTAGTGTAGTTAAATTTATATTGCATTTTTCTATGATTAATTATATTATTTTATTAAAAGGTTGTTTCACTTCTTCAAGAACTATATTATGAAATTAAAGAAAAACAGGATAGTACTGTGAGAATTTTGTCAGCTGAACTATTACTCTCTAGTCAATACAATAATTATACCATTGATGATATTTTACTTTCATTTGTAAAAAGCAAAAATCCTGAAATATCTACATACATCACTGGAAAAATTAATGACCTTACAAGTAGAAATAAGACATTCAGGTAAAATGTTCATATGTTTTTTTGGAACTTTTTGTTTAAATAGAACATCTTATGAATCTATGAGCATTAAGTTTTGGCTCTATGGAGTTCTTATTGCATACTATTGACGTTGTTGGAGATAATCACACAACATCTTATAATATAAATATAGGAGATTCCCATTTTACAAACATTTGATTTATGACTGTAGCTTTTATAACTGGTATACATCTATTATGTTTTATGAAGTGTTGTATTTAAATACCATATATTTAGTAAACAAACAGTTTACTTGTGAGAAAAAGTATATCAAGTACTTGACACTGCTGCAAATCAGACTTGGACATACTGTAAGATGGCAATGCTCTTATTATATTCCTATTACACATAATAAGAAACAAATCTATTATGGTCTCTTACTCACTCACTCAAAATTAGAGAATGAGTAAGAGAGTGAAATAAAATTTTTTTGAAATAAAAATTGAGTTAATAAATTATATCAATAATGATTATTTGACAGAAATAATAGATAAGAAATTTAAATAATTGTACAGTTTTTAAGAATATGAAAAACATTTTTACATTTTCAAAATATCGTATTAAAATTTTAAAAATTATTGACAATTGACAAGGTCTATTCTGCAATGAAAGGACATTATGGACTTTTAAATTAATGAGGAATTTAAAGATGATGACTCAATTATTTAGAAAAATTTCTAATTTATTTCTATAAATTTAATCTTAATAACAATAATACATTATAATAATATTTTATATATTTTTTTTTACAGTAATATATTGAAAAGTAGAAAAATTAGAAATTATAATACTCTTTCAAATAAAGGAGACTCTGCAGTTGTTAGAAATTTGTTAGCAGGTAAGAAAGTTTTGAATATATTATTTGCATTGTATATTTTTTATAAAAAATTTAAATGAATTATCTTTTAACATAATTTTATTGAATTTATTTATATTATAAAAATGCACTATATGATTATTTGGAAATCTATTTATTTTAATATTTTACAAATTTTACATTTGCAAAAAATGGAAAATAAGTAAATTATTTAAATTTTAAAATTGAATGGAAATAATTTTTAATTTAAGTAATGTATGTCTTTATTTAAGAAAACAAAAAGAAATGGTTGCCTCAAACATTGCAAAAGTTTAGAAAAATAATGTTTAAAAAATGCTATTTTTGTTATTGATTGGTTAATGATTTAATTACATTAAATCATTAACCAATAACAAAAATAGCATTTTTGTTAATTAACAACAAATTTAATCAATAACAAATGTGTACCGTACGGTTTTCAAATATAAGTACTGTACTTAATTACCAGATTTACCGGGTTATATTTGGATTACTAATTTAATTAATTATATAATTTGTCTATAGAATCAGAGACTAGCTATCTTTAGATATATTATACACTTAATTAATTAAATTGTAATTTGGTAGACCTGGCAATTAAATATTTAGTTTAATATTAATAAATTGTACTAGATGTTTTCTTTTGTATAAATAAGCATTATATTGGAAAAACTTCTAAAAGTTTTTAAAGTTTACAAAGAATAAAATGAATCAATATTATATAATCATATTATTATTATTTTTTTATATTCTTTGTTTAATGTCTGCAATCCTCTGTGATGTCTTTTAAGATTGCCAGATTTGTTAAATGCCTTTAATAAATCATACTTTTTAGTATCCCTACAACAAAATTTACTTGGATTAAGATCCAAAGTGCTAAAGGTGCCATAGTGATGAGTTTTGGAACTAAAAATGCCACTATACCAAATTCAGTTGACACTGAACTGCTAAATATCTCTGTGAACAGTGTTGGATAGAGATACTTTAATTATGATTACCCAGTATTATATTGTAAGCTATTGAATAAGCTTTCAATATAACTTGTAAACAAAGATAATTCTAAAATAAATATTTTCTTTTTATTTTATTACATTCAAAACAATAAATATGAATTTATTTTATAAATTAGATAGATTTATAGAAGTAATTTAAGTTATGTAGATTTAGATTAGCTACATCAATCTAATTAAAACATTTGTAAATATAATATTTTATGCATATTTACTTTTATATTTTCAGGTGGAACTGGGGTTGATATATACTATAGTATGGACATGGAAATGATTTCAGGTGGACTTCTCAAAAAAAGTGCTTTTGATGTTAATTTTGAAAATGAAAAAGATAAACTTCATTTCTTTTCTGTGAGTTAATTTAATTTTTATTTTTCAAGATGGATCTCTCTACTTTGTTGTTTTTATTTTATTGCATAGATAGGATTATTTGCTACAGGATTAGGAAGTCTTACAGGAGAAGAAGATTCAGAAGAAACTTCAGCTGGAATGGAATTAACACTTTTAGGGGTACATATTCGTCCTTACACTTTCTTCCATGGTACAGGAGAATTGATGGGTCACGTGTGGTCAGGGACTGGTAGTGAACCCATATCTGCTATTCAGGTATAATATATCATAAATAAATTTTTGTTACAAGTATTTAAAAATTAATTTTATATTCTGATTTTATCTATAAAATTGAAATTAATATTTTAAAATGCATAATAGTTAAAACTCAAGACCTGATTTAAATCAAATAGACAATCTCTATTGACTTAAAATTTAAAATATCTTAAAAATTTATCATAAGATATAATAATCTTATGATAAATTTTTAATTTATGTGTTGTCATAGATTATATTTTAAATTCTGAGAAATATGGTATAGAGTCTTCATGACAGTACCAGAGACATAGAAAATAGGCCTGTAGCTTTACCTGAGTCTCTATATATATATGATGCATTAATATGAATTGCTGGGGGGACAAACAGTAGTTAGTTTACTTTATTGAAAGTTCGTATTAATGAATTTTCAGGGTAAAAAGAACATTTAGAGAGTTGAGGATTAATAGAAAATGAAAATTAAATTATAGTATTTTGAATTAATTAATTAAATAAAGTTGAATAAATTAAAATTTATTTACAAAAATAAATAAATTAATGATCTTTGCAAATCAAACAAAATGAGGAAAAGGTGATATTTGTCATTTAAGTGTAGAGCAGTATATCAGAGTTGTTATACAAAAACAAAGTTAAAAGAAATCTGTGATTTTTTTTCTGTTGAAGATTATTTAAAAAGTAGAAAATAATTTTTGGTGCCAAAACAGCAAGAAAGGAGCCAAATTTGGTGCAAAGTAGCCAAACCTGATATCACTGTGTGTACAGTACCTCTTGATATCCAAACTAGCATGTGTTTGCATGGGACCACATCCATTTAAAAGGTAGATGTTAACCCCTATTTTCTGAGTACAGTAGAATGGTCTGCTAAAACTAGATATTTGAATTGTTATATAATTGGAGGTCAACCCATCTTTGCTTACTAAGAGAAGAAAATTATTCTACACAAAATAGAACATTTTGACATGAATAATAAAATCATTATTGGAAATAGGGTTATTTCTTGGGGTTGTGAAGATAATTTACAGTTAAGTTTACAAATTCTGGTAAAATTTTTCTTCACTTTATTGCATAAAAATTAACATTGTGACAATAGTGTTTTGCCAGGGCAACAGCCAAATTTGCTTTATTGATGTTCATTTTAAGACAAGTCAACTGTATCTGTAAAATAATTTTAGATTAATTAAGTTGTACTATTGTAATGAAATGTACAAAATAAAACATTCTTTCCAAAAGTTTTTGTGTGTTAAGTCTTATATATGCTTTATTGACAACTTAGAAGAAATTTCTAATTGTGAGTCCTACATTTGGGATTGCAGGGCAGTTGTTACAGTCCAGATATATGTATACAATTGTACATCGTTTAATAGCATGCACTGATGATGAATAAAACGGTAATTTTCACTTTAATCTTTTGTTGGAAACTTTTTAATTATTTACTATCTATTAAGAGAGTTCATAGTGCTCTTTTTCATTTAGCATCTTCTCTGCCACTTTTTGCTAAATTTTTTACTATAGACTCTGCCCCTGATTATCATCAGCAACCAAATCCCAATGTTTAAATATTAATTTGAGGTACTATTCAGTTTTTTAATTTATAACAATTCTTTGTAAACAGTATTAGCTTTATGTAATAATTTAGTCATTTAATCTATATATCAAAATATTAAATATTTAAATTAAATAATTGATAGTAGATAAAAGAAAGCATTATAATTTGAAATGATGTGTAGCAAATTAATTATGATAATTAAAAATAAAAAGATAGGATTCAAAATTCATTATTACTACTAAAACATTCTGTGAGACATTGAATTTTAAATAATTGTATNTTTTTTAATGTGAGTGTTATGTTCTCTTCCTTTGGTAATCCATATTTCACATTTGGATCTTGTTTGATCTTACATATATGCGACGCTATTCTTTGTTTGCATGTTTATGTAAGCTGCTGATGATCTGCACTGATGTCTGTGTGAGAATGAAAACGTTTCTTCTAATAAAATATTTGGCTTTTTGGATTAAATAATTTTAGTGTATATTGTATAAAAGCTTTGATTTTTTTAATGTTTTTTTCTGAATAAATGCAAGAGCACTTGAAAGTATTCAATAAAAATAAATATTTCTTCCTTAAAACAATAAGTGTGTGGAAAAGGACAGCAGAAGACGTCTATGTATTGTCTAGTTTGCTAAATTTATTTAAATTTTAAAAATGTAATTGTCCTGGCAATTTTTTATCAAACATTCTATTTGATTGTTTTTTTAAATAAATACAGTATATAATTTTTAACATTTAAATTTCAAATATTTTTGTACCATTTTGTACCTACATTATTTAGCCTTAATAGCATTATATTATTATATTATATTTAAAATATTAGCTGGGGCAGGATCTTGAACCCATTTTCCCAGCTATAACATCCAGACTTCTTGGAAAATCCATCACACAATTTGCTAGAGCCACACTTGCTATATTTGGTCTAGTTGCACCTTCAATCATGAATCTATGCTAATTTAAATTGATATAATATGCTGAATAAATACCAATAATAATAGCAATAATTTATTTGTTTACAGACCTCAAATTCTAGATTTAATTTCTGCAACTCAAACAGATGCTGCTTTTGAAGCAGCTCTTGAATTTCTGGATTTTTCAGGAAAAAATACAGATTTACCAGAAAGATTTCTTTTGGGTCTCTCTGTGACTTCTCATCCAACTTCTAAGATGATAACCGAACTTTTGGTATGTTTCTATTATCTATTTTATACATATTGAAACTAAATTATATTTAAAAATTATATTCATGCATGTATTTCTTCTACTTAGAATTATCAGTTGATTTTTTTTAAATTTTGAGAAATTTTGGATAAGATATTATTCTATGTTTTGAAAACTTCAGGAGAATTTTGATAAGTATATGCCATTCTCTGTTAGGTGATAAATTACAATCTTTCCAACAAAAAGAAATAAGTTTCTTTAAATACACTAATACAAAATTAGATACTATAACAAATTTTTATATGAATTATAAATAAATGTTCTAAAACTATAATTTTTCTGTATATTTTGATAATCCAATGATTTAAAAGAAATTATAAAACTTTTAACATTCTTACATTTTAACAAAATAATTATATAAATTATATTAAACAACTGAGTAATATCAAATATGAGAGTGAACAAACTCTGTTTCGAGTTGGTTTGCTGAATTAAGCACAATTCAATATTGTTCTGATCTAAGGTTTGGTGAAAGCACACCTCCACACTCAAAATAATCAATATATACAGTTTATTTACAAAATATGTACAAAGTGTGTCTGAAAAGTTTGGTGAATGGTCTCATAAAATAAAGGAAACAAGAGATAGAAACAAAATACCTTTATTGGCATTCAAAGTAATCACCATTAGCAACAACACACATTTGACATCTGTTGTACAGCTGCTGGAAGCTGGAAGCTGTGAGCAAACGCTTCTTTCGGTATTGCACAAAGCACTGTTGTCACACGTTGTTGGATCTGCGCAATGTTGGAAAAGCATAGGTCTTTCAGGATTCCTTTGAGGCGGGGAAACAAGAAGAAATCTGTAGGTGCCAGATCTGGAGAATATGGAGAGTGTTGAAGAACTGTCACCTGGCATGTAGCAAGGAAGTGCCATACGCAGCTCGCAGTGTGCAGACGGGCGTTGTCATGGAGCAGGGTCCACTGTCCACTCTGGTACAACTGTGGCCAAAGTCACTGGATGTGTTTCAGCAGCCATTTCAAAACTCCCTCGTAGAATTCTGCGTTGATGGTTGTATTGTCAGGTAAAAATTCATGATGGATTAAGTCCTTACTGTCGAAAAAGGCAATCAACATCGTCTTAATCCTGGATTTGGTGAGATGACATTTTTTGGGAGGGGGTACGACCATGAACACCATTCCATGGACAGTAGCTTGGTCTCTGGATTGTACTGGTAGCAACACGACTCATCTCCTGTAATGATTGTTTCCAAGAACTGCGGATTCCGGTCACATGCATCGATGAAATCTCCAGAGGTTTCCATCTGGTGTTGCTTTTCCTCATCTGACAGCAAGTGCGGTACAAACCGGGCACAAATCTTACGCTTTTGCAAATGTTCATGAACAATGGTGCTAACACTGTCTTTGCTTACCTTCAAATATCAGAGCTGATGCTGTAGGCTTTTGTTTTTGAAATTTGATAGCAGGCAATAAATCCTTTTTTCACATAATTACAAAGAAGGAAGCTATAGCTGGGTAATATTTTTATTTTAAGTGTGTTTATTTTTTCAAAGTAGAATTTTGAATAGAGGAATAGTTGAATTAAACATCTTGGATTACATTTAACCAATTTGATTTTTAAGCTTATTACACAATCATCAGTTATATATTGCACCCTCAATGAAAGTGAAAAGTGAATTGCCTGAAAAAGTGGTAAAGATGAATGGTTTTATGTGACATGTAAAAAAGTTTAAAAATTATGAATATTACTTTTAACAGAAGCATACAGTAGTATGCATTGTTTTTATAGTGTTTGCATTGCAAACACTATAAAAAAAAAGAAAAAAAAACAGTAAAATCTTCTGACTTGAACAACAATTTTGATGTAATCTGAAAGAGGTACCAGGAGGATAGCTCAAAATGTAAAATAAAAAAAATTAAGCAAAAGTGAGAATTTGAGTAGAAGCAGTAGATTTTTATATTTATTTTATTATTCATTATTAGTTATATTTTATTACATATAATGAATATCTTGTTAAAAAATTATTGAATCTGAATACTATATAATTTCTTTATAATTTTATTCACAGTTTTAATTTTATTATTAATTAAAATATTTTATTTAATAGAATCTAGCAAATAAAAAAATTAGTAATGAAAAATTAAGAACAACATTGTTAATGACCTTGGGATCTGTCTTGAATTCTTTTTGTAAAATAAATGATTCCTACTTGGATTTACCAGTAAGTATTTTATTATCATTTTATATAACAAATAGCATTTATTTAATTTTGATTATTCATTAATAATTTTATTTTAATCATTGATTTTACTCTAATAATATGGATTTTTTATTACTGATTTATTTAAGGAAAAAAGATTGTGGAAATTAAAATATATGAATAGTATTAAATGTTTGAAAACACAAAGCATATATATACAAGTAACTGTTTTAATTGAAGTATAGGAAATAAATATGCAAACACTTTTGAATAATCTACCATGTTTGGGTTTAATAAAAAGAATAATTTCTTTAACTGATGTTGCTATGGAGATATATATAACATATGAAAAAACTTAATGCTATTCAACTGAACTGTTTGTTTTTTGTTATGCCTGAAGATAGCAAATTGGCTGAAAACATTTAAATTACAGGTAACCCCCGTATAACACGGCACTTCTATAGCACGGATTTGCTCTAACACGGTTTGAGAATTGGTANTAATTTAATGTTCTATACTTCCTACTACAAAAATGGACAGTAAAATCTTAGCTACCTACAGGCAGAAAAATACTAAAAATGCCTGTGTGTGTAATTTTCTGAAGAAGAAAAAATAAATGGCATTTTATTAACAGGTGTCACAAATTTTTAGCACTAAAACAATGTAATCTATAATTCTCAAAATCTTACTTCAAACATTGAGAAAAATTAATTATGTTAAAAAGGATAATATCTTCATATAACATAACAATTTTCTTATGTTCAGATGCAACCAAATGTAAAATAAATATGATTAGTCAAGATTGTACGTATTATGGTTGCTGTTTAAAGTTTTGTTTTTTTTACTAAAGCTTGTTTTTTAGTTTATTACAGTGAGAGAAAAGTAGAGAAGAGCATGTGCTCTTAAATACTAAAGAAAGAAGACCATTATGTGGTCTAACAGATACAGTGATGATTTTTTTTATTATTATTTACTAAGTTAATTAAGTTAAATGTTATGTTAATATTAATATTAAACTGTTAAAAATCTCTATTTTACTATTGGTGAAAACTGTGAAAACATACACAATTATATCTATCATTACAAGTGCCTGCAATATATCTCTGTATCTCAACCAGCCTCTTGAATCTTTATTTCAATGCCATACAAATCCAATTACATAGTTCTAAAATATTGAGTGTGTTAACTCATTATCTTAAATTTAAATAAAAACTTGAATATAATTTTACAAGTTTAAGATTATTAAATTAATTTGAAATTGATTTCAGGGTAATCTTTTGTTAATGGATCATTCTCAGAAAATTATTCTCCAGAATGGTTTGATTGTTGACTTAAATGTTAAAGGAGCTCTTTCTATTGATCTTTCTGCAAGTATTGATATATCTATTTGGAACAGAAATTCTCATTCTATAGTAAAAAATAGGTAAATTGAATTACTTAAATTGATTTCAATTATTGTTTTTTAATTATAATGTAATTTCAACTTTAACATTTTTTAATTGTTTTTTTNCACAGCAATTTTTTGGAACGTAACTACCGTGTTATACGGGGGTTACCTGTACTTAGTTTCTTCTTGTAGTTCAATTAAAACATAAAATGTAGAAAATATATACATTTTTTTACATTACTGAATTAATAAACTACAATATACAAACATTTGGAAAAAGTTTTCATGAGATGATGCTTAGTTTTCTTACAATAGATCTACTTGAAATTATAATACATTATTTATTACAAATTATTGAGTAACAAATTCCATTTCTGAAATCGTTAATCTATTGAGGAATACAATTATTTTTGTAGAGACAGAAATCAATAGGGTTCAAACTAGAATTTAATTTTTATAAATAAAAAAATTTATATTGAAATATTACTTTAAAAATTATTGAAAATATAAAAAAGTCTACTATAAAATGTGATATAACATTATTACACTAATGTAGATTACCAGTATTATTTTTACTTCCTAGTTGAAAAGTCAGAAAAACTGATTCCAGCCCATGCACAATTTCTATTTAAATCTTATATTTCTTTCAATTATACATATGTAGAATTGATCACTTCACTATGTTCATCTATTACTGATTTTAGAATCTATTTGAGACATTAATTCATTCAAAAATTATAGTGCTAAATGCTTCAATAATTTAATTTGTATAACATTAAAAGATATTCTGTATATGCCAGTAACAAATATATATAATTTATGTAAATGTTTAAAAAACATAAACATTATCTAAAACATTGGAAATTAAAATTTTTTTTAACAGAGTTGTAAATGGTATTTATTTTTTTTTTATAAATTACAGATTGTAAATGAAGTTGTTAATCATTATTCAAATAAATTAAACAAGTGTAAGAAAGTAAATTGTAAACTGATGTATCTTAGAGGATTGAAGAATGCTGCATTACCATCAACTGTTCCACTACTATTAGAATATGCTAAGAAGGGAAAACCATTTGCAGAAATTGCTCTATCAGCTATAAAGAAAATGGATCCAAAATATATCAATGAAATAGTAAATTCTTAATTAAGAAATTAGTGTAGTTAAATTTATATTGCATTTTTCTATGATTAATTATATTATTTTATTAAAAGGTTGTTTCACTTCTTCAAGAACTATATTATGAAATTAAAGAAAAACAGGATAGTACTGTGAGAATTTTGTCAGCTGAACTATTACTCTCTAGTCAATACAATAATTATACCATTGATGATATTTTACTTTCATTTGTAAAAAGCAAAAATCCTGAAATATCTACATACATCACTGGAAAAATTAATGATCTTACAAGTAGAAATAAGACATTCAGGTAAAATGTTCATATGTTTTTTTGGAACTTTTTGTTTAAATAGAACATCTTATGAATCTATGAGCATTAAGTTTTGGCTCTATGGAGTTCTTATTGCATACTATTGACGTTGTTGGAGATAATCACACAACATCTTATAATATAAATATAGGAGATTCCCATTTTACAAACATTTGATTTATGACTGTAGCTTTTATAACTGGTATACATCTATTATGTTTTATGAAGTGTTGTATTTAAATACCATATATTTAGTAAACAAACAGTTTACTTGTGAGAAAAAGTATATCAAGTACTTGACACTGCTGCAAATCAGACTTGGACATACTGTAAGATGGCAATGCTCTTATTATATTCCTATTACACATAATAAGAAACAAATCTATTATGGTCTCTTACTCACTCACTCAAAATTAGAGAATGAGTAAGAGAGTGAAATAAAATTTTTTTGAAATAAAAATTGAGTTAATAAATTATATCAATAATGATTATTTGACAGAAATAATAGATAAGAAATTTAAATAATTGTACAGTTTTTAAGAATATGAAAAACATTTTTACATTTTCAAAATATCGTATTAAAATTTTAAAAATTATTGACAATTGACAAGGTCTATTCTGCAATGAAAGGACATTATGGACTTTTAAATTAATGAGGAATTTAAAGATGATGACTCAATTATTTAGAAAAATTTCTAATTTATTTCTATAAATTTAATCTTAATAACAATAATACATTATAATAATATTTTATATATTTTTTTTTACAGTAATATATTGAAAAGTAGAAAAATTAGAAATTATAATACTCTTTCAAATAAAGGAGACTCTGCAGTTGTTAGAAATTTGTTAGCAGGTAAGAAAGTTTTGAATATATTATTTGCATTGTATATTTTTTATAAAAAATTTAAATGAATTATCTTTTAACATAATTTTATTGAATTTATTTATATTATAAAAATGCACTATATGATTATTTGGAAATCTATTTATTTTAATATTTTACAAATTTTACATTTGCAAAAAATGGAAAATAAGTAAATTATTTAAATTTTAAAATTGAATGGAAATAATTTTTAATTTAAGTAATGTATGTCTTTATTTAAGAAAACAAAAAGAAATGGTTGCCTCAAACATTGCAAAAGTTTAGAAAAATAATGTTTAAAAAATGCTATTTTTGTTATTGATTGGTTAATGATTTAATTACATTAAATCATTAACCAATAACAAAAATAGCATTTTTGTTAATTAACAACAAATTTAATCAATAACAAATGTGTACCGTACGGTTTTCAAATATAAGTACTGTACTTAATTACCAGATTTACCGGGTTATATTTGGATTACTAATTTAATTAATTATATAATTTGTCTATAGAATCAGAGACTAGCTATCTTTAGATATATTATACACTTAATTAATTAAATTGTAATTTGGTAGACCTGGCAATTAAATATTTAGTTTAATATTAATAAATTGTACTAGATGTTTTCTTTTGTATAAATAAGCATTATATTGGAAAAACTTCTAAAAGTTTTTAAAGTTTACAAAGAATAAAATGAATCAATATTATATAATCATATTATTATTATTTTTTTATATTCTTTGTTTAATGTCTGCAATCCTCTGTGATGTCTTTTAAGATTGCCAGATTTGTTAAATGCCTTTAATAAATCATACTTTTTAGTATCCCTACAACAAAATTTACTTGGATTAAGATCCAAAGTGCTAAAGGTGCCATAGTGATGAGTTTTGGAACTAAAAATGCCACTATACCAAATTCAGTTGACACTGAACTGCTAAATATCTCTGTGAACAGTGTTGGATAGAGATACTTTAATTATGATTACCCAGTATTATATTGTAAGCTATTGAATAAGCTTTCAATATAACTTGTAAACAAAGATAATTCTAAAATAAATATTTTCTTTTTATTTTATTACATTCAAAACAATAAATATGAATTTATTTTATAAATTAGATAGATTTATAGAAGTAATTTAAGTTATGTAGATTTAGATTAGCTACATCAATCTAATTAAAACATTTGTAAATATAATATTTTATGCATATTTACTTTTATATTTTCAGGTGGAACTGGGGTTGATATATACTATAGTATGGACATGGANGATATAATTAATTAATCAACATACTAAATAAATTGATTTTATAAAATAAATAATATTTGCGTATGGAACTAAAGAGCCGCAGCTTCACATCCAAAGAGCCGCATGTGGCTCGCGAGTTGCAGGTTGCTGACCCCTGGACTAGCTGAACCTTTACAGATTAAACAACTTCTACTGAATAAAGTGTGTTAGTTATTTCACTTTGATTTGTTAAATAAGAATTTTATTTTTAACAGTGGTGCATTTGCAATTGAAGGAAGTGCAAGAATTGATTCCTCTTTCATTGAAAGTCAAGTTGGATTTAACCTCGGTGGAGAATCGTACATAGATTTTGTTACAGATTTTGATTTTTATGATAGCCCTTATAGAACTTGTCTTCAGATGAGTCAACCTGACTTAGAAATTAAGTAAGTATTTTATATACTCTATGTTAATGTGTAAATCTTTCATATTTTTATAAAATATGATGATTATAATAAATTAAAATCTATGCTTATATGTGTGAGATATGGCTAGATTCTTTACAAAGTTCATTTTCATGTATTGTTGAGAAGAGATATCCAGGATGCTTGAGGTGCTGCAATGCCTCATGATATCAAAGCAATCAGTTTTCTTACTTCAAAATAAAAATAAATATATGCATATTATACGACTAATTAAGTAAGATTAGGTAATTAAAACAATTCTAAGGTAATAAATTAAGGTATTAAGGTAAAATTAAAATTCAATTTAAATGTATGAAAAAGTATTGACAACTAATATTAAAAGTATTTAAAATATCACTAGTTTCTGTTCTAATCAATTCTAGTTACTGTTTTCTAAATGTTTATGTTATAAATACTTAGATATGTTAATCTTTTTATCAAAAGTACAGGTAACCCCCGTATAACACGGGAGTTACGTTCCAAAAAATTGCTGTGTTATGCGAATCCATGTTATAAGAAACAAAGAACTAGTGCGAAAAGAGGGGTTAGGTTCCAAAAATTAAAAAAACATGCTGTTAAATCCTTATTTAAATCGGATTTACTATTCATTTTTTTCATAGGTAAAATACTTATTTATTATTTACGTAAATATTTTACCAGAGGATTATTCATCCTATATGATGATCTCAGTATGAGCATCATCAACTGGTAACAGTTTTTGGGTGCATTCATTAATAGCGGTCGCTCTGCAACAGGAATGCACTGCTGTTTGTAGGCATTTAGAAACGATGGAGGAATCTATAATTCTAAAATGAGCTTTTAGAGGCAAAAGAAGGATTCCAATTGTAAAATTTAACCATTAAATGGATTATTGTTGAAAGAGCATTCAAAGTAGCCAGAAAAACAATTAGAATGCTCGTGCGGAAGTATAAAAGAACGCACCCTTTATTACATTTCATGTTGTACGAGGGGTTTACCCAATTTTCGAACCGTGTTAGAGTGAACCCATGCTATAAAACCACTGTGTTATACGGGGGATGTTCCCAATTTTCGAACCGTATTAGAGCGAATTCGTGCTATAGAAGTGCCATGTTATACGGGGGTTACCTGAATATATTAAAATGTTCTTTTAATATGCAAATAAATATAATATTCTAAATTATTATAATTCATAGTTTTACTCAANCAAAGTGTGGTCAAAACTTCAAGTTTGAATTTTAGTTTTTTACAACATTAGAAATTTAAATAATCTTCTGATTGTTGCTATCATAACAACATAAATAGATACAATGCAAATCTTTAGCTTTAAGTCTGTTTTGATACACAAATAGAAGGAAACACAAACTGCTTATTTAAAGTTACCAAACTTGAGTTTTATTGAAAGTATTTTCAACATACAGTTCAGCCAGCATTAGCCAACTATACGTGATTAAAATGAAGAGCACTGTTATGGCAGGCCAAACTTCAGAATTCCCAGATGCCATTTCTGAGTCCCACTAATTACTGGTATAGCACTAATTACATTTTATATATTATAATTACTTTCAAGCAAAAACAAAATTTAAAAACTTTTTCTTTAGCTTTTGAATTTTGGAAAAAGCTATATTATTTCATTAAATAATTAAACTTTTATTCACTACAAAAGACCTGTTTTTTTAATTTATTTTTAAGTATAAAGTAGAAGAAATAATGTAAAGTTAATTATTCACTTTTCTGAATATATTTATATGATGATACTTAATTAACTTTATGAGAAATAGCTTAGTTGTAATATTACATGTATCAAAGTTTTTATCATTAAGTAAGACTGTTTAATTAAAATGTTATTAAATACATTGTATGAATTGTGTATAAAAATGATTCCAAAATTCCATGAATATGATTGTGTGTGTCTTACAGTTAGAGAATATCTTGATGAGNAACAAATTAATATTTAATTTTTAATTTAGAAAGTTCTGGAAGAAAAGAATCGGCCCAGAGTGAGACTCAAATCTTTAATTCACACATAATTAACTTAAATTTATCAAGAGATGATGACAAAATTACTAAATATTATTAAATATTAGCCAGAATATAACCTGATATATACTTCAGCAGACTCATTTGGCCTAAAATAGTTTAGTTATAGTTTTCTTTGTTTAATTTTTTTATCCTGTAAGTATTAGAACATTTTGTCAAGTCATTAAACCATTTCAAATTTTATCAGTCATAAGTTGACCAAGTCCACATAAGTAGAGATGGCCAATTGTTTAGGAATTTAGCCTATGAATTTGATTCAAACCACTTACAAAAATTAATTATTATGTATAAAATATTTCTTTCATTGCATTGTGATTCAAAATTTTTAAAATATTGGATAACAACAAGTCTTGTTTTAGTTTCAATAAATTTTAGGATTTCTTTTTCTGAAGGCTGACTTATTTTTATTTATGGTTTTATTTAAGAAAGAATTGATATCTTGTGTAACTAAAGACATTTCTATGTGTAGACAAAATAAACATTAACCTACAATGAAAAATTTTTACAGGTGACTTTGCACAATCAGAAAATGATTTATATATTAAACGTATATTAAAAAAATTAAAGTATACTGTATTTATATATAGTTTATATATAAGAAACAAAATTATATAGAGCAAAAATACATTAAATTAATTATTAAAAAAAATAATTCTTTTATTGATTTGATCACAGCTAAATAATTGCTTAAAATCATTTTTAATACAATTAATACAACCATTGTTAACTAAAAACTTTAAATAAGTTTTAAAATGTTTATTATTTTTACAGTATTTAAATTAATAACAAATTATTATTATTATTATAAAAAAATCAATGTCCATAAATGTTCAAGAATTAAAATTTAATATTTAATTTAATTTAATGTTCTATACTTCCTACTACAAAAATGGACAGTAAAATCTTAGTTACCTACAGGCAGAAAAATACTAAAAATGCCTGTGTGTGTAATTTTCTGAAGAAGAAAAAATAAATGGCATTTTATTAACAGGTGTCACAAATTTTTAGCACTAAAACAATGTAATCTATAATTCTCAAAATCTTACTTCAAACATTGAGAAAAATTAATTATGTTAAAAAGGATAATATCTTCATATAACATAACAATTTTCTTATGTTCAGATGCAACCAAATGTAAAATAAATATGATTAGTCAAGATTGTACGTATTATGGTTGCTGTTTAAAGTTTTGTTTTNGTACAAAATAAAAAAACAATTTTTAACGATACAATAGTCTTCGTTAGGCTTAACATCGACGAAAATTCAATGCAAAGCGACACGCAATGGAGAAAAATTTCAACACAGGATAAATTAATATATTTTTTCGTACATAATTGGTTATTCGAAAAATAAGTTATCCGAACAACCCCTGTCCCCAATTGATTCGGATAAACGATGCTCCACTGTATATCTCAAAGGACGCAACAGGGTTGTTGTACATTTTAAACGTTTCTTGCCATAGCTGTAAAAATCTAAATATGTTAAGCTTAATAGATTGTCCGTCATTTGCTTTTGAACTAATTAGTTTAGGACCAGGTTCCACGGAAATTTCCAAAATTTACAACTTTTCAGTCACTCTCATTGAACTGGAAAAATTTCTGTCTTTATTATCTAATATTACGAAGAAATCAGACCCCACTGTACTCTGCTAGAGATTGGTTCCGTTAATTAAGCTTATAAGCAAAATTCCAGCTCTTTCAGCAGGGTTTTGTTTATGTCCCTAATTCCCTAATCTCTTAATTATTTAACTACTTCTTAAGTAGAAATAATTTTTTAACATTGTACAAGAATTGTACATGTTTTTTTCTACATCCCCTTAAAGATGGGACATACAAAATCGTAATATCACTGATTTAACATTGAAATCTGTAAGTAATATAAGATGGGAGAGCAGAATAAAAATATCAAATATTTTAATGGTTTTTTTTAACTCCTATCAACTATACAGAACTATCATAAAAACATACCAGTAAATTCCTATCAGTTGGGTTAAGTTATAAATCTACTCACGATTCACATAATCAGGCGAGGGCGACCAAATATCTAGCAGACAGGCAGCTAACAGCCCAGGACCGGTCCTGGATAGAATCATTGGAAGCATTATATGTGTGTAGCTTCCACCAGCTAAACTGGGTGAAGTTGGTGCTCTGTAAAGCGCATATAATCTTGCTGTTTGAAGCTGACAATATAGCACTTCCATTCTGCCACTAATATTCGAATATACAATAGCAATCTTATCGTTTTCTTCACATGTAGTATAGAAATTTGTAATAGGATACATAATGTGGTTATAATAAAATATTAATTTTAATTATATGAAAATAATCGCACAATATATATTTAGTTTTTAGAAAATACAAGGGAAGCGGTGCTTCTATCGCTTCCAGTGACAGCACGCCACTGCAAAATTTATATTTTTTGAAAAAATTATTCAAAGGATGACAATTTACATTAATAAATTTTACGACAAGTCCATCAAAAATAATTATATGTTTTTAGCATCTTATAATAAAAGGTCAGTGCCATCAAAGTGTACTGACCTTTCATTATAGGCTGCTTGGCAGTTTTAATATATTTTCATGTTTTAAGAGAATTTTTATCACATTTATAGACTATATTGAAATATAAATCCTGAAAAACATCTACATTTCAATTTTTTCTGAATATTATTATTAAATTTTAATGATGATGATGGACACAGTAAAAGCACCAGCCCTACTAGCCTGAATAACATCAATTTGAGTTTGGATTGACACAGAAATTTTAGATGAGTTAACCCATATATATTAAACCCTGTTCCCCACTGTCTACCTCCAGAGATAAATCCAAGATGACCTTTTTAATATAAAAATATTTAATGACTATCAAATAAGCCCAGCGTTGCTCGGGCAAAAAGTAATGATAGTGAAGATTAAGGTTATTACATTAAAGCCAATCTTACCCGTTTTCACAGAATGCAAGAATTAGTCCCCTGTTTCCAGATTAATTACAGAACTTTTAGATGGGTCTAAAAATATCATTTTCATTAAGCTCTTAATCAAAATAATATTTATATAAATAAATCAATATAAACAAATAAATGTCATTCACAAATAAATCTAATTAAATTATTATTTGCTAAAAACTTTTGTAAATGTATTAATTTAATAATAATTTCAACTTTCAGTTGTTCAATGTGGACATAAATAAAACATTTCAAATTTTACTTTTGATTTGCTAAATCATGAACCATTGTATGATCAAAGCAACACTCCTTTATTCAGTGGAAGTTGTTTAATATGAAAATGTTTTTGGCTAGCTCTACTAGCCATCATTAGGCTTTGAATGAATATTTAAATAAAAATCAACAGAAACAACATTTGATGAATGGAATATATACATGTAAATGTCTAGAAAGGAATCTCTGCTTTTGAATATCAGAATTAAAATTAAAATTACAAAATTTAAAAATCAAAATTAATTAAAAATAATTTCCAGAGAAGTTAGTAATTGCATATTTTCAAGCATTTTCCAAAGGTTCTGCATTTCTCTAGATATTGCATTCTCTGAATTTTGTCTGAAAATTTCAAGTCAGACATTTGTACAGGAGTAATTTTTTTAAACAACATTAGTCTTGTTTTACCTTACACAAGTATTGTCTTGCATTTAAAACATGCTAGTGCCATTGTATATTTATTGTTTCTAATGCCCTGTTGATATTAAGTCTTGAAATTTTCAGACAAAAAAGTCAGAGGAGAATGCATTAACTACAAGTTTATGGAATCTTTGGAAATGCTGGAAGCATGCAATTACCAACTTCTCTCGAAATTATTTTTAATTAATTTTTTTAATAAGTTTTGTAGTTTTAATTTTAATTTTTAATATTTTTAGCAATAAATTCCTTTCTGGACATATAAATGTGTACATTTTATTTGTCAAATGTTGTTTCCATTGGTTTCTATTTAAATGTTCATTCAAAGCCTGATGATGGTTAATAAAGGACTAGCTGAACCTTTACAGATTAAACAACTTCTACTGAATAAAGTGTGTTAGTTATTTTACTTTTATTTATTAAATAAGAATGTTATTTTTAACAGTGGTGCATTTGCAATTGAAGGAAGTGCAAGAATTGATTCCTCTTTTATTGAAAGTCAAGTTGGATTTAACCTCGGTGGAGAATCGTACATAGATTTTGTTACAGATTTTGATTTTTATGATAGCCCTTATAGAACTTGTCTTCAGATGAGTCAACCTGACTTAGAAATTATGTAAGTATTTTATATACTCTATGTTAATGTGTAAATCTTTCATATTTTTATAAAATATTATGATTATAATAAATTAAAATCTATGCTTATATGTGTGAGATATGGCTAGATTCTTTACAAAGTTCATTTTCATGTATTGTTGAGAAGAGATATCCAGGATGCTTGAGGTGCTGCAATGCCTCATGATATCAAAGCAATCAGTTTTCTTACTTCAAAATAAAAATAAATATATGCATATTATACGACTAATTAAGTAAGATTAGGTAATTAAAACAATTCTAAGGTAATAAATTAAGGTATTAAGGTAAAATTAAAATTCAATTTAAATGTATGAAAAAGTATTGACAACTAATATTAAAAGTATTTAAAATATCACTAGTTTCTGTTCTAATCAATTCTAGTTACTGTTTTCTAAATGTTTATGTTATAAATACTTAGATATGTTAATCTTTTTATCAAAAGTACAGGTAACCCCCGTATAACACGGGAGTTACGTTCCAAAAAATTGCTGTGTTATGCGAATCCATGTTATAAGAAACAAAGAACTAGTGCGAAAAGAGGGGTTAGGTTCCAAAAATTAAAAAAACATGCTGTTAAATCCTTATTTAAATCGGATTTACTATTCATTTTTTTCATAGGTAAAATACTTATTTATTATTTACGTAAATATTTTACCAGAGGATTATTCATCCTATATGATGATCTCAGCATGAGCATCATCAACTGGTAACAGTTTTTGGGTGCATTTGTTAATAGCGGTCGCTCTGCAACAAGAGTGCGCTGCTGTTTGTAGGCATTTAGGAACGATGGAAGAATCTATAATTCTAAAATGATCTTTTAGAGGCAAAAGAAGGGTCCCAATTGTAAAATTTAACTATTAAATGGATTATTTGTTGAAAGAGCATTCAATGTAGCCAGGAAAACAATTAGAATGCTCGCGCGGAGTTACGCGGAAGTATAAAAGAACGCACCCTTTATTACATTTCATGCTGTATGAGGGTTTTACCCAATTCCCGAACCATGTTAGAGTGAACCCGTGCTATAAAACCACCGTGTTATATAGGAGATGTTCCCAATTCTCGAACCATGTTAGAGCAAATCTGTGCTATAGAAATGCCATGTTATACGGGGGTTACCTGTATACTCATTGGGCTTAGAGATGTTTATTATCTAATGAAAAAATTGTCTACTTTATGAAAAAAAAAAAGTAGTCTTTCATTGCAATCTACAAAATACTGAAGAAACTTTGAATTCAAAATAAAAAATATATAATAATAAAATTAACAAGATAGCTATAGAAGATCAACAACAATTATTAATATATAAAAACTTCATAATTTCTGAAACTAGTAACTTCTAAAGTCAATTTTAGTTAATAGGTTTTTTTGGATAATTGACTCTCTACTGTGTAGAGTGGATTCCAATAAAAAATTCATGATCACAACACCAATTTAATAACCTTAACTTATCTTTAGGGAAGAATTTTAAGAAAAATTCCGCTTAATTCAGACACATTGGGACTAATCCATTTTGGCTCAATTAAGCTGCTGCCCCAATTAAATGAACTAATAATAAATTCTNTCTAAATTATTATAATTCATAGTTTTACTCAATATAATATGTTTAATTTTTACAGTACTTTCTGTATATTATTCTTTAGTGTCATTTATTATTACATAATAAATTTGTTAATGTTAAATTAATTAGAAGTAAAATATTGTGCTTAAAATAGCTTTAAATATATGCATTTTTTTCTTTCAGATACAATGTAAAAGAATCACATTCATTTCAAAAACATAAATGGCAACATACATCAAATAGAAAATATTACATTCCAGGAAAATCCTACTCGTTTCATAGAAAAAATGATGAATATTGTTCAATTTTACTTGCAGAAAAATATTAAGTAAGTTTTAATATTAAACTAAGTTTAAATAATTAAAGTTATAATAATGTATTTATATATTTATCAAACAAAAGTAAAGAGTTTTTTACAACATTAGAAATTTAAATAATCCTCTGATTGTTGCTATCATAACAACATAAATAGATACAATGCAAATCTTTAGCTTTAAGTCTGTTTTGATACACAAATAGAAGGAAACACAAACTGCTTATTTAAAGTTACCAAACTTGAGTTTTATTGAAAGTATTTTCAACATACAGTTCAGCCAGCATTAGCCAACTATACGTGATTAAAATGAAGAGCACTGTTATGGCAGGCCAAACTTCAGAATTCCCAGATGCCATTTCTGAGTCCCACTAATTACTGGTATAGCACTAATTACATTTTATATATTATAATTACTTTCAAGCAAAAACAAAATTTAAAAACTTTTTCTTTAGCTTTTGAATTTTGGCAAAAGCTATATTATTTCATTAAATAATTAAACTTTTATTCACTACAAAAGACCTGTTTTTTTAATTTATTTTTAAGTATAAAGTAGAAGAAATAATGTAAAGTTAATTATTCACTTTTCTGAATATATTTATATGATGATACTTAATTAACTTTATGAGAAATAGCTTAGTTGTAATATTACATGTATCAAAGTTTTTATCATTAAGTAAGACTGTTTAATTAAAATGTTATTAAATACATTGTATGAATTGTGTATAAAAATGATTCCAAAATTCCATGAATATGATTGTGTGTGTCTTACAGTTAGAGAATATCTTGATGAGAAATTCAGTGGATGATGGAATAGATGATGTGATATAGTGTGATCCCAAAGACTATACTGATAAACTTAAATAACAATTAATTTCAGCACATTGCAAAGAAAATATTTATTTGTTTTACGACAGTTTAATGCATAAAAGCAATTATAAAGGACTTCTTTAACAATTTGCAACTGTCAACATAGAAGAAGATATCCAGAAGAAAATGGCAAATTAAAATTGTATAGAAAATGAAGGAAGCATTTACAGGGTACATTGTAATGAGTATGCATGGTCACTTTGTGCCACTCTAAGCACAGTGCATCATTTATGTTATAGATTAATTAAATAATTTCCACCAAGATATGTAACTTATACAGAAAATTTATGAATTTTAAATTTTTTGTTGCATCTATATTGATAATATACCTTGATGAAATTGAAGATAATGAAAATATTTTTTAATTTTGAAATAATAAATGATATTTTTCATATGATTTAATTTAGAACTTTATTTGATAATTATTATCATGAATCACACTGCATAGTGTCAAAATTTCCACTTGGCAATATTTTTAGTTAAGTGGCAATAAAAACCTTAGTCCACTTATTTAGACATTTAGCGTGAAATTGAATCACAAATCACATTCAAGAAAAACAGCATAATGTCGAGCTTCCATGCAATGGGAGTCCTGTACATCATATACCTAGTGATTTAATGATGTTATGCAGCAAGTTCAGGCAGAAAAGTAGGAAGTGATGTTGAGAACTGAAGACAGTTTTGTACAATGCCAACCCCAGTGTTTCCAGACTGGAGATTTTTTTATTGAATGATATAAAATTTGAGGAGTTTTTTGAGATGACTTTTTCACTTTGATTTTTTTTTAGTTGACTAAAACAAAAATTTTCACATAACAGAACCTGTGAAATACTGTTTAAACATTGTAATCAAATGTGTTGTTTAGAATTAGTCATTAAAAAATTATTCAAAAATGATTCCTATTGCTAACAAGGGGAGGGCCAGACATTCAGTTCTCCAATTTGAATGAAAGTTGATGAACATGTAGACTTAAACAAAAATTGTTCCTTGTCCAAATAATACTGTCACAGCATTCCCTAAAGGAGTGGCCAAGAAGAAAGTGACTTTCTTGTGCACAACATCCTGCAAGCTTCAGTCCTCTGAAGAACATCATATGGTCAGGACATAGCAAACCAGGAACACTCACCCAAACTTTCACTCTAGGACCTGCTGAAATCATGCACTACACCCATACCTGATAATCTTGCACCATTTCTATCTATCCATACATACTTCTTTTGCTTCTACATTTATGACTTTTCACATACTGTCAGTGCCTTCTTTTGTTCAGTTTTGGGAAACACTTTTCAAGTGTTTTTTGAGGTGACTTTTTCACTTTGATTTTTTTTAGTTGACTAAAACAAAAATTTTCACATAACAGAACCTGTGAAATACTGTTTAAACATTGTAATCAAATGTGTTATTTAGAATTAGCCATTTTTGGGAAACACTTGTTTCCCAAAAATGGGCCTCTGAAAATTTAGTATTTACCTTATGAGTCTTTGAAAGTTTCATGTCTCTGAGTGGTGATAGCTGAATGGATAAGATGTTAGGCACTGGAGCTAAAGTAAAAAATAGTAAAATAAACAAAAACATAGACACTGTAGGTCCAAACCTTCAGAAATTTCCTTTGTCACTTGATCTTTGCTGTTGATAAAGCTTAGAATACATTTTGTCGTGCTCTATGATGATGGTTATACCAAGAGACAATTTTACTTATTTGTCTACAAGTATAATTTTAATTCTCTGCTTTATTCAGATTAAGTTACATTCTTTGTACCAAAAAATCTCTTCTATTTTTATGTTGGACAGGTTTCTGGCTTATGGTAGAATTTAAACAGAAATCACACCATTTGGAAGAATTTTTTCCATTTAGACAGGTTTCTATTTTATTCAGATTCCATTTTGGACAGATAATACTGTAAGTGTCTCTAATTCACAATGTACATTATATACACTCTTCAAAAGTGAAATCATAATATCATGAAGGAATGTGCATAACCACATGATCATTGCAGGACCAGTAAAGATGAGAGATACGTACAAATGATTAAAAGAACAAACAGAGATATGTAACAGGTAATTGTTTATTCAGTAATAAATATGACTCCCACAGGCAGATATACAGGCCGGTATATGGCAAGGCATACTGTCATTGAGGCAATTAATGGTTTGCCTGTAGTATCCATTGCCAAGTTGCATCCACTGCAGTGCACATGTTCTCTATGGGGTATGGTATGTAGCAGTGGTCCCCATTACACCTCACATCAGACAAGGATCAACAGGTGTTCAATGGGAGAGAGATCTGGTGAAGCTGCTGGCCAGGGAAGGATGTGAATTCCATTCAGGCTGGTGAGAGTTAGGCAGTCGGGCATTATCTTGCTAGAACAATGTGTCAGTTGTGCTCTGCATCAGTGATCAAACCACAAGCTCCACAAGTCATGTGACATACTGGTTTGTTGTCAGAGTACCAGAAGTGTGCACCAGGGATGTCCATTGATTGAACATCATCCCTCCCCAAACTATGATGCTTGGTGTGGGGCCAGTGTGACGTGCAACAAAATATCCAATGACATTCAGTGGTCCAATTGTGATGACAACAAAAACACACCAGGCATAACCTGTGTCAAGCAGTTAATGGCACTCCTTTGCTGGTTGTCATGCTTACAGCCTGACTTCATGCAACCTGTTCCAAATGGTTTGGGTGGACAAAGATGCACTCGTTGATGGTGACAGGTAGCTTCAGATGTCACATGTCATGAGTGAATGGGTTCAGTGAATCTGTCAGTGTGTGTGCTCAGTCATGCACTGGTATGATTTACTCCCTCTGGCCTGTTCACAGATGTTCCTGCATTCATCATATCACATATTGCTGGATGGTACTCAAGTCATGTCCAACACGCACATTGATAAACCAAGATCACACAACTCTAAGATATGATGTCATTCCCCAGCTGTTAACAGGTGATATTCAGCTCACTGTAGTCTCTGAGGTATTTCTATGCTTCTTCAAAAGTTTAGCTGCCACAAACCATTGCTGATTGCATTTATGACCTGAATTGACTGCTGGTCTTTAGATGTCAAAACTGGGTACCACATGACTCGATGCATATGCAAACTTAATCATTTGCAAGCTTTGTCACCTCTACTGCACTACAATTTCCATGTGACTATGCACATTCCTTCATGGTATTGCAATTTCACTTTTGAGGAGTGTATATAACATATGTAACAGTATGCTAACATGTTAACATACTATTACTTATATATTAAGTTATAATATATCTGTAATTGGAATAATAGTTTCTAGTTGCTAGCTTTTAGTTGTATTTTATTTAACAGTTATAGTAACTAGCATAAATCACAAAAAAGCGAGCAGGACATGAGGACATGCAATCCAGCAGGACATGAGGACGAACATTTAAAATGATTAAAAATTCTTCAAATCTTTTTGCTGGATTGTAAGGTTTGTCATGATATACATTTTATATTATCCAGTTAAGGATTATTAATACAGTAACTAGTTTTGGTTATAAGGTGTAATTGTAATCTAGATGATATATCAAGCTTAATAACCTTAACAATAAGTAAAAACACAATTGATATTAACTTTTTAGTCATATTGTTAAATAATAAGTAGAGTGCATTCAAATCTTGAATTTCCATTTAAGATTTCAATGCACTTTACTTAAGGGAAAAATGTGTTCTTGAAAAAAATTTTATTATAACAACTTTCTGAACTTCTGATATTATAAGAGCTTTATATTATTTAGTTATTGTTTGGTTACATTTCAGATATGAGTGTTAATGAAATTTACATTATTAAGAATAAGAGAATATTTTTACTGTTTATTTGCAAAGGATGCTCTATTATTTTTGTTTGTTTATGTTCATTCAATAATGTGGTATCTTTTCTAATTTTTATTTCTTTTGTTTACTCCTGATTAGACACTTTGTCTAAACATTTTCTTTTTGTATATTTAAATTTAGTTTGATTCATGCATTCAAAAGTAAATGGCGTATTTGAATAAAAAGAAAAAAAATCAATTTGTTCAAGAGCAAAGTGATTTTCTTGGTGTTTTCTTTTAATCTTATCAGACAACTAAGTGCTTCTGAATTGGATTCATCAAATTAAGACAAGAAACATTATCCAGTGATTTTCCCAG